TTTTAATTAACACACAATGTACAATCAGGGTGTATACTATTTTATTAAAGTGAAACTCCAGGTTTTTTCCAGGTTTTTCCCTGGTTTTTCAAAGTTTTTCCAGATTCCCGCGTATCTGTTTGGTTCCACTTAAACTATAATCAATTTAAGACTTGCAGCTTAAAGTATACAATACACATCAAATTTGCTTCAAAGTCCAGTGAGCTAGTGTTGAAAAAATAATAATCCTTATTATAGTAATAATTTTTATTATCAGCATTTCTTAAGGCTACCGGAAACATCGTCTCTCTCGATAGCAGCAAAATCCTGAATATTTTCCTGCGGTCATGTGGTCGCTTCCCACAGTGACGTAAACGTCATCACAGTCTTACGTTATCATAGAAAAATCCTGGACATCTCCCGCGGTATGTATACAAAATCGCCGTCTCTCGCGATCACGGAAACGTAATCATCGTCATCCGCGATCGCGGCAAAATCACGAAAATCTTCCGCGGCCGTGTGGACATCATCATTGATTCCCGCGGTCACGTAAAAGTCATTATCATCGTCCGCGATCACGGCAGAATAAGGAAAATGTTCCGAGGACGTGTAGACACCGTCATTGACTCCCGCGGTCACGGGAACGTCATCGTTGTCGTCTGCGATCTCGGCAAAATCATGAATATTTCCCGCGGCAGTGCAAACATCATCGTTGATCCCGTGGTCACGTAAAAGTCATTATCATCGTCCGCGATCACGGCAGAATAAGGAAAATGTTCCGAGGACGTGTAGACACCGTCATTGACTCCCGCGGTCACGGGATCGTCATCGTTGTCGTCTGCGATCTCGGCAAAATCATGAATATTTCCTGCGGCAGTGCAAACATCATCGTTGATCCCGTGGTCACGTAAACGTCATCGTCGTCGTCCGCGATCGCGGCAAAATCATGAACATCTGTGGCCGTGTAGACATAACCATCGTCGTCTTTCGCGGTCACGGCAAATCACGAATATCTTCCACGGCCGTGTAGACATCATCATTGCCTCCCGCAGTCACGGAAACGTCATCATCGTCGTCGTCCGCGATCTCGGTAAAATCATGAATATTTCCTGCGGCCGTATAGACATCATCATTGCTTCCCGCAGTCACGGAAACGTCATCGTTGTTGTCCGCGATCTCGGCAAAATCATGAATATTTCCCGCGGCAGTGTAAACATTATCGTTAATCCCGTGGTCACGTAAACGTCATCGTCGTCGTCCGCGATCGCGGCAAAATAATGAACATCTGTGGCCGTGTAGACATAATCATCGTCGTCTTTCGCGGTCACGGCAAATCATGAATATTTCCTGCGGCCGTGTAGACATCATCATTGCTTCCCACAGTCACGGAAACGTCATCGTCGTCGTCCGCGATCTCGGTAAAATAATGAATATTTCCTGCGGCCGTGTCTACATCATCGTCGTCTCCCGCGGTCACGGAAACGTCATCGTTGTCGTCCGCGATCTCGGCAAAATCATGAATATTTCCCGCGGCAGTGTAAACATCATCGTTTCCCACGGTCACGGAAACGTAATCGTCGTCGGCCGCAATCACGGCAAAATCACGAGCATATCACGCGGCCGTGTAGAAATCATCATCGTCGTCTTTCGCGGTCACGGCAAATGACGAAAATCTTCCGCGGCCGTGTAGACATCATCATTGCCTCTCGCAGTTATCGAGAAACGTCATCGTCGTCGCCCGCGATGTCGGTAAAATCATGAATATTTCCCGCGGCCGTGTCAACGTCATCGTCGTCTCCCGCGGTCACGGAAACGTCATCGTCGTCTCCCGCGGTCACGAAAACGTCATCGTCGTCGCCCGCAATCGCGGCAAGACGCATTTTACGACTACAATCTTCTACTGGGGCAAAAATAAAAATCCCGGAATCGGTCCAAAAATCCCGACTTTTCCCCGGTTTTTTCCAGGTCCCTTTAAATTCAAGGTTATTTCCCGGTTCTCCCGGTTGGTATACACCCTGACAATGTATTTAAACCAGCTTATATTTAATTTTTGTTTCAGCAAAATCGGATAATTCATCTCAAAGATATTTAGGCTCAAACTTGAGTGCATTTATTTCCCCTACAAAGGTGATACAAAAACTTGTCATCACTCTGTTTTCAATAGTAAAAATTATATTCACTAAAAAATATATAGGCCTATTCCACTTCAAGTTAAAAACGAGACCATCATACTTTTTCTCCACTTACCACGAAGCACTTGTGACTGTTGCTTTAATTATTTTTGTTTTGGGTAAACACAATAAACATTTTAACGCGTTTCCACCCTTTTCATTTTTTTCAATTTGTTGAAATATGTCACTTAAGTTTTGTCAATTGATATCACACTCGCCCGCAATCGCAAACAAATATTATTAATCTACTGTACTTAATTAAAACTGTTCACCTTAATAACTGATGTATTTAAAATAGCCTATTTAACTATCACTAAAATATATATAACGACAAGACAACTAAGAAACTAACAAAAAATTAACACCTGTCACGGTCAGATAATGAACATCGACTGAAGTGAAGACATTGTTTTGACACTTGAGATTGCAGTACATATCAATCGCCAAACAAATATTCCCCCTTCCCACCCTTCGGTTCTTGGGGTGTTGTTATTGGCTGCCATTGGCTCGCCCCCCGGGTCCGCTGCATACCAAAGCGACTGGACTTTGACTTTCTCTTTCCCCACCCCCGAGTTGTTTGACCCCTCACGCACGCAACACTCACTGAACACGTGAAATAAATAATCCATGTTGGAAATACTTTCGCCTGACCAAAAAACTAACGAGTTAAAACTAGCGAATATATTATCTATTCGTTGGCTATAAAACTAACTGAGTAGAAGTTATTTCCAGCTCTTTTTAAAATCTAACGAATAAAATAGAAGTTAGCCGAAAAAACGAACGAATAGCGCTATTCGTTATTCCCAAGTATGTTATTCACAATACCCGCCAATTCGTCCAATCAACTACTACAGCAGGCAATCGTTTTTACAAATTCTTCTGTCTTGACACAGCTAGCACTACAACTTCTTTCTGTAACTGGTTGACTACAGTACCGCAGAAGAGACAGTCTGGCTGTTGAAGGGACCGTTAGATACCCTAGCCTTCTCTTTAACGTTTATAATTTATTCTCAGCTTTAATTTTTATGTCCTTCTTATTAATATACGGATGTCTGCATTTCGCATGAACTTTATCTTCTGGGAACACACACAATTAATTCTTCTCCTCTTTCCAAACCTGCTTTGTTCATTCCTTCAGCTCCCTTTTGACGAACTTGTACAGTGTCTGTAGAACAATATAAATTTTCTAAGCATCATAACAGGACATTAGTTTTGTTTACGATATCAGAACTCATTACATACCTGAAATTAACACTGAGAAAAACAAATACAAAAGTACACTTTCTAACCATGTAAACCCACCAAGTAAACATAAAAAATTAAATTCTAACTAAATAAACATATGTGGTGGTTAATAAACATGAGTAAACAATAAACAGGTTAGCAAACTGTAAATGTTAAATTTATTTACAAAATACTTACATGAAAAAAAAAACTGTACTATTTTCGTGCTGAATTCAGTAAAAGTATGAAATTTTGTTATTTCCGTAGACTTCAGTGAGGATGTAAGCATATTTATTATTATAATTATCCTCTTTTAATGTATTTTACATCTAATATTTAAGGTATGGTGCCCTATAAAAAGTAGGCCTACTAAAGAAAGAACATATAAAAATGTCAACCTCACTGTTTAGGATGAAAATATTTTGAACATAGCCCTTTTTGTTTTACGGTAATTAAATTATATGCGTTTTATTTTGTGAGTTTTTTTTTTATAAAAATGTATCATTAGGGATGTTTACTTAATGTATTTGTCTAAAATTAGGTGAACGTTTTTTAGAACAATTTAGACTAAGACAATTGAAAAATAAACGAGAGCCTAGTTTTTATTAGTCTGTTTGAGATAAAAATAATACTACAACTACTCAAACATGATAAAATATTGTAAAAATTTGTTTATAAATTGAAATTTATGTATAATGTATATGTTTAATTTAAGTTTAGGGACCCTGTAATCGAATAGGTAGACTCTTAACTACTTCTTTGGGATGAAATTTGTAGAAGTTTGATATTTGACACAATCTTGGACGCCATCTTGAAATTGAGGCTTTTCCAGTTGTCAAACTTTGGTAAACTTTTGGTATGTTAATCAGCACACCTAACCCTACAAAAAGACAAAAAAACCTTTTGTAGGAATTTTTTGAGGGTTAGGTGGTTTATTTTCATATCTGCAGGCGTCTATTGATGAAAATCAATTAAAAGTGTTATTCCTTTTGTATCTAAGCTTGTATCCTGTTGATCACAGCATTCTTCTATCCAATCGCAATAATTTCTTACATTATTATTATTATTGTTATAATATAAGCTTTCAATTTAAGATGACTTAAAATTTGAGTAGAGATGATGGGTACCGGTACAGTTTCTTAACTGGGCTACGATAATATTGATTGAAATTATCAAATTGAAAGTATTGATTAATAATCAATATTTTTAAATATATCTATTATAAAATAAAACTATCATAACCTAACCTAACCAACCAAACTAATACAAATTCTATTGAAAAACATATGAATATGAATATGAACATATGAATTTGGATGGTGAAAAATCGCGTGAAAGTTTACTAATCGAATCGATAGTTTCAATCGATATTAGCGTATCCCAGTTAAGAAACTGTACCCGAGATGATAAATTTGGGGATGAAGAACAAGACCGGAGAAGATATGTCGTTCCCTTGCACCTGGATCCTGAACACCAATGTACAAGTGGACAATAGAACTTAGCCTAGTTGAAATTAAAGACATTTTTTAACTTCAGGGAAGTATCAACAATTCAAAAATACATTGTATGTAATGAATATAATCTTTCATAACCAACATACAGATTTGTGTCAATATTAACAAACATTATTTTACTATTCCATTTAAACAATAATGACAGTTCCCAAAATTAAATAGATTTAAAAATGCATTCTGTCATAAAAGTAAATTTTTAGAGGACAATACTCTGAGCTTGAAAAGGTAAAAAAAATTACAATATTAGAAATTGAGGTGTTTGCCAAACTAATAATGACAAAAAATTAAACTATAAGAAATTGAGGTTACTGCTAAACTAATAAAAAAAAAATTAAACAAAAAGTTAACTTATGCTAGTATAATGTTATTTTTACATCTTACTGGAAATAAAATTAAACTTTCAAACTCATCTTACAGCAAACGGCTTTAGATTTACAAATTAAAAATTTTCATTGGAAAGTACATGGTCTTAAAATTAAAATCTACAACTTCAAGTCCCTACATCGACAATCAAACAAAATGTGCAACTTAGCCAGATTGTTAATTGTTTTCCAAAGGGTTAAAGGGTTAAATACACACTTTAAAAGCATTCTATTCTCAAGAATAATGAAAGACTCAGGCATTTTAAAAGTATTTGTGATATTTGTTCATTTGTTTTGTGCCAAAAGTTTCTTATATTCAGGTATGAGCGAGTCTTGCATGTTTGGTGAGGCGCTAGTGAGCATCTCTGCTAGGTAGACAGGCAGCAGACAAGGCACGTTGTTAGTTACAAACTCACTCAGAGGCACAGTCAGGTTTGGGACTTTGTTGATCTCCATGAAGCAGTGTGTCGCCATACTCACCGAAGACCTTCAAAACATCACAATCCTTTATTGGACAATTAACAGCAAGGATTGTGTTTACTTTGGTTCTGTTGAGTTAAGGTCGAAACAAAAAATCAAACCCGTATTACTTAAGACTCCAAGATGGAGAAATGCCGCAATCAGCACAAATAAAAATATCCATTTAATCCCACCTATCTTTTTGACTAATTGGTTAAAAAATTGCCCATTTTATTCCAAAACTCCTCAGTATAATCTTAAAAATATGGTGAGGGCACCAGTGAATGGCCGTTTGAACTTGAGTTTCTACTTGTATTTGACATGTAAAGATAGGCTATTAAGTTACATTGTAGGGGAATAATTTTAACGCCTTGTCCATATTCTCCTATAATTCGTAATAATAATACTTAAAATATTATGTCCAAACAGTGTTGAAATTTATCGTACATAAATCATTACACCAAGGAATGACCACATATATGACATTTTAAAATTGTATGAAGCCTCTCCTCCTTTCCATCAACACAACCCAGTTCAAGATTCTCTCTTCCAAGCTGGACACCCTACATATTATTTTTTTTACATTTCAGGATTGTTGAAAAGTTAGATTATAGTAGAGTTGATTAGTTATTAGAGTTGGTTATATTATATTAATATGATTTCTGATGAGATGAGATTTTGTGTTCACTTAATTAATTAGAAAAAAATATTGTTTTCAAAGCTTTGAAAGAAAATTTATCACCAAAACAGAAATTCTCTGGTTATACCCAAAGTTGAGATCCAGTACACCAACTATTTAAATAATTATTGGTTAAGATTGTAAACTTTACACAATTAATTGTACCTTACATTTTAACGTGATCTACATACAATTTCAAGTTTCTATCAATAACATTAATCAAAGAACCATTACAAATTGAAATTACAACCAACAATGTTTATGCAAGACCTTATAGTGGAAAGCTTGAAGATGAACTGGTTGGAACACTTAATTTTGTTTAAGTTATAAAAGGATGATTGGCAATTATTTCTTTTTGAATCAGTGATAGTCAGGCTCCAAAGTTAATTTCAATACCGTTTGTGATAGACTAGACAAAACAGAAAGCTTAGCTTAATGGTATTTTTATACGGAACATAATTTACTTCCAAAGTTCACATTAGAAATAATAGGCTCTTTTCAGAATTTTTTTCTCTTAATAGGGCATGCATTGATTAAAATATGTTGACAATTTTGTCGAGCCTCTGTAGCCCATAAAATAAAACCCCTACAAACACAGTTTATATTCTTTCTCTCTAATTTTTATTTATAATTTCTTTTATCTTTTATTTACAGCAAATAAACTAACAAACTCACGAAATCTTTATGATATGGCATTTGCTTCAATCAACTGTATTGTGGAAATATTTAAAAAATCACCATTTTCATAAATCGTTAGAAAATTGGTTTATTTTGAAAGTCTGTATTTTGTCCATTATTTACGCTATATGCCTGGTGTTGGGCTTAAACTGTCACAAAATTATCCTCCTTTAATTAAATAAAGTAATATTTTTATTTTTAGTAAAACTATCCTTTTGCAAAATAGAGTGATACACCGTAGTAATGGTCAAATCCATATATAATTTTTGAAATTTCAATAACAAGTGGCGCGCCATGGTACCTCAAGGTGGAAAACATGGATTTTATGTTATGGGCCCAATACTAACAACATATCCAAGAATCAAAACTACCAGACCTTTTGCACAGCAACCCCACATTTTCTGACACATTTACTGGACTATGATGGTGACCTTAACTCGGTGATTTTACTCTACAGTACGGTACCTAACATAAATTAGGCCAGGCGCACACAGGCGATTTTGAGTTGCGCAACAGTTGCCCGACTAATCGGGGGACTGTTGCGCAACTCTCTCGGAGACTCTGAAGTCTAGCGACAGTTGAGCTGGAGTGCGCACACAGGCAACTTTTTAGTCGCGGATCTAGTCTTGAGACGTGTTGGAAATACATTCATTACAGCGTTCCGAATGGATTTCAATGATACAGCCGTAGTATGTGCTTTGTTGCTGAAGTTTCGCGCGCGAAAGAAAAAGAGAAGATACTGGGTTCATCCCATATATAGTGAGCGACTTGTGAAAGGACAGTTTTAATGACTTTAAATATAGTCGGCCTCTTCTCAACTTCATCAATTAATTGTTCGACATCCTCATCACGCACACTCATACTTGTAATTTTCTAAAAACTTCACACAAGAGAGCAAACACTACTTTGACAGTTCTGGCCACGAGTAGTTGAACTCCTGGGGTGAGACTGAGCGACACAGCGACTATTTAGTTGCATGTGTGCGCATCTACACTTGTTTCAATGGACACCAAACCTGGAGCGACAGTCCCGCAACAATTGAGTCGCAGAGCAGTCGCTGGCAAATTGGGTCCGGGAACATCGGTTGCAACAGTTGCGCGACTGTCCCCAGACTGTTTCCTTCGTGTGCGCACTCCAATTTAAAACAATGTTGAACATTTTAGTCGGGCAACTGTTGCGCGACTCAAAATCGCCTGTGTGCGCCTGGCCTTAAAGATGAAAATTTAATGTTCATTTCCTTTACAAAGTAAGACACTTATAACAAAATGTATTTTTCAAAAGCAAGTAAAAAGAGATTTTGATGATTTAAAGAACTATTCATTTCAGTTTTATTTAATACTTACAAAATAGATGGAAGTACAACTCCTCCTCCAGCAATAATCAGCCGTTGGTACGACACACTCTTGGCTGGGGTGGTGAACAACATGGCCTTTAATCCTTTAAATGCTCCTTCGGCAGATCCATTAACCTTTGTTCGCCATCTAAGTAATTGATTAAACAAAGCTTAATAGTCTGTGAGACTGTTAGTATTAAGACCAGTTATTTACCAGGTAGGATTTAGCACAAGTGTCTCATAAAAACACAAAATATTTTATAGGAAAAAATCAAGTTAACAAAAATCCAGCATGACTATGAAATGCCACATTAGATATGTGAACCTCATATTTTCAGATAACAGAGCATAACAGTATAACTGGAAAGAAATATAAGAGGAAAGAGAAGGGTTGGAAGACTACAAAGACATCTTAAAAGGGGACAGAATCTGACACATAGGAATTCTGAACACAGTTATGTCTTGTTCTTTGTGAAAATCGGTAGATATTTAAATAACTAAATAAATTATGGATTCTGTTGGTAATACATACAATATTTTCAAATGGAAGATCCATGTATTAAACTAAAATGTATTTAGAGGGACTGACTATTTAGATATAAAAATCGTATGTATGTGCTGAGCTTTAATCAGGGAAAACCGTGGTTATAATCTAATAGAATTCTTTCCTTTTTTGCTATTCTTACAAACAAATAAAAAAAAAGTTTTTGTAATGATACTACTTGTTGTTTCAAGTTGTTTGCATTTTTTTACGTTTTAAGCGTCTTTTTACCATTTTTACATATTTTTTTAGCAAATTTCCCATATAGGGAATAAGCTATTTATTACCGTAGTACTTTTGGTAAGACCTGGACCCGGGACCGATTTACTTTCTCGTTTTGAGGTTCCTAGAGGCCAAAAACACAATCCGTTCAAATTCATATATAAATCTCAGTTAGCACGATAACCCAAGCAAAAATGATCCGATTTTGATGAAATTTGGTATAAATGTGTAAACCTATATTTATTCGCACAAGTTCGCGAACCAGCATGATTGGACTATGGGAACGGGGGTTTATGAGGGGTTTCATGGGGTAAAAACTGATTTTTCCCAATTTTGACCCAAAAAACATAAAATTTTGCAATTTATTTCCAAACCATTTTGTAGAGCTTAAAACAAATAATTTAGTATAATGAAGCCTTGTTATGCACCTAATGGTTACGGAGAAAATTCAAAAAGAATGTAAATTCAAAATTCCCATGTTATTTTTATGGAGAATAAGTCAACTGTTGTAGTTTGCTTGTTTATGAACACACTTTGATCGAATTTGGAAAATGCATTTATTTCTCATTAAACTATTAACCTTATACAAAAAAACCCACCTTTTTACCCTCCCTGTTGCAGCAAACCTAAGTACTCGTTAAACTATTTCTATTTAAATAGGGAATAAATGCGATATTTTTAAGGAGACATTTTAGTGTAAATCCAATCAGGCAATTGGAAATTCGCTCAGTCTGCAGGTTTGCTGCAGCGAGGGTATTTTAATATGGCGTTGTGGGTAATGAAATTGTTCAGAATTTCATGAGGAACCATATTGACATATTGAAACATTAGTTTTTAAAAATTAATAAAAATAAAGGAGCTAATCAGATGATCCCGGCATTAAGTCACAAGGTGTTTGGTCGTAAATTTTCATGTCTTTTTTTGTTATTGTTTAATTGTACTAAAAATTAGAGATACAAATATATAAGGGGAAAAAATTTATTTTGAATATTAAGCGAGATATGGAGCTTATAAAAAAATATATTATAAAAAATATATTATAAAAAATTAAATTTAATTTCTTTTTTTGATTTTTAATTTTAAATAGCTAGTGATTATTATCTTATTTTTCCACACCTGAATGCAAATTTTGGTGAGAATCGCATTACCTATTCTCCCTGTGAACTGGTACCAAAGATGAAAAATTTACTACTTTCAAGCTCCATATCTCGCTTACTATTCAAAATAAATAATTTTGTCTTATATATTTGTATCTCTAATTTTTAGTACAATTGAACAATAACAAAAAATAAGACATCAAATTTTTGACCAAACACCCTTAAGTCAACCTGCCTCCCACCAGGTCTGAGTATGAGACCAAACACCATTGTTCTACAGTCCGAGCTTATCTCATTTTGGGCTCGGACTTGACTCGTGAACTCACCAAGTTTATCCTCGAAAGCCGAGACTATATGTAATTGGACTCATGAACGAAACTTTTAAAACCATGTTTTATCCCTGCACTAATTGTGTGGAGTCCACCAGTTTCTTCCGCAGCTTATAAAGTCTCGAGCTTGTGAACCCAATTTTTTAAGCCGCGGCGCAAATACCAGTTATTTCCGGATTCTGGGCTCGGACTTCGATAAACCTGAGCTCGTAAACCGCCTCATAGTGACACACTAGCCATTGTAAAAACACACTACCTGTAGGCTGACTCTGCTAACTCTTGGGCCAAGTCACCAGGTGGAAATGAGGGAAGCCGACCACTGCTCAGGGGATTGCCCCATTCAAACTTCTCTTCTTCCTATAACATTATTTACAAGAGTTAAACTTAATGTAATAAAGCTCATTTGCTGAAATAACATAAACAGTACAGCTATCAAAAAAGGATTTTACTCTTACCAACAACTCAGCTACATTGTTTGCAACTCAGTTTACTGGTTTACTAGCAAACAGAAAATTGAAGTGATACTAACATTTGTTTTGGTATTTTATTGTTAATTTCGACAATTTCAAATTTTTAAGATTCAAAATTCAATTTCCACTCAAAATAAGCTAAAATTACATTTTTAAGCCTGTTAGTGCATTAAAAGCTCTTTGGTGAATTGCGTTATAACTTCTTGCGATTGCAGCCACATAGGTGATCATATCTTTCGATCACTTCAAAATTTATAATGATTTCCCACGATCACAGCAACATCCAAAATGATTTTCCACAAGCTTGGCAATGTCCGTTATATGTGATAGTTTCCCTCAATCGTTATTTTAGACTAAGCAAAACGAGAAAAAATTGTGATTTCGGGCAGATTTTTTGGCTACTATTTAAACATTTAACCTTTACTAAATATTTCCTGGTTATTTTTATAATTCATGTACAATTCAGGAATTTTTTCTCGGTCATCAAAATTCACTTAGAATTCCCGTTTTTTTTTTTTTGTTTTTTTCATGTCGGCTGGTTAAGATAATTTTAGCTCCTTGTCGAGCATAGCCCTAAAATTTGGCAAAAACCAAATTAAGTTTATATTTACAAGTGGGTTTTGCAATAAAGGATCGATTGCACATGGCGAGTTTACAAGCTACTAGCCGGAGGATAAAAATCGGTCTTATCAGTGAGTACATCATACAACTCCCTATGAAATTATCAAGTCTTATTATACTTGTCGTTTGTGTACTGTGATTACACTTGAATAGTTTTACTATGTAGTTAGCTCAAAATACTTTGAGTGGGTTGATGTAAAGTTTTACGACAAATTTAACTGTATACAGAGCTTTTTAAAAGTAGCTATCATTTCATTTCATTACTGCGATAAGCGCACTAAGCTAGTTTATGAGCTGAGAGTAAAAAAGCTGGCTAGTAGCCTGTACACTCACCCTACGTAATGTCTTAGAAACTTTTGTCAATAATAGAGAGTCGGTACAAATCAAGTCAACATCACTCGCCTTGGGGGAGAGGGTAGGGGACAAATGATCTTGGTATTGCAAGCTGTATTATCCATAGAAGTATTTCTTTGATTTTTCAAGTATCTGAGATGCACCATAAAGTCAAGAAGAAGAATATAACTAAAAAAAACTTATAGACACAGTCTACTGAAACAAAACATGGTAACATTACACCTGATTTTAACTCAATCATTAAATTAAAATACCCCCGCCGCAGCAAACCTGCAGACTAAGCGAATTTCCATTTGACTGATTGGGTTTACACTGAAATGTCTACTTAAAAATATAACATTTATTCCCGATTTAAATAGAATTAGTTTAACAAGTACTTAGGTTTGCTGCATCAGGGAGGGTAAAACTGTTTTTTTTGTAAAATGTTAATAGTTAGTAAGAAATAAAAACATTTTCCAAATTTGATCAAAATATATTCATAAACAAGCAAACTACAACAGTTTACTCATTCTCCATAAGAATAACATGGGAATTTTAAATTTACAATTTTTTTGAATTTTCTCCGTTACCACTAGGCGCATAATAACGCTTCAATATACTAAATTATTTGTTTTTTGAAGCTCTACAAAATGGTTTGGAAATTAATTGCTAAATTTTATGTTTTTTGGGTCAAAATTGGGAAAAACCTATTTTTACCCCATAAAACCCCCCCCCCCCCCCCCGTAAACACCCGTTCCCATGGTCCGATCATGCTGGATCGCGAACTCGTTCGAATAGACGTAGGTTTACACGTTTGTACCAAATTTCATCAAAATCGGATCATTTTTGCTCGAGTTATCGTGCTGACGGACACATATATATATATATATATATATTAATAAATAATACACCATAGTACCCTTAGCTTAGTAGAAGGGTAATATGGTGTATTATTTATTAATATTAATTACAGTAGCCCTAAACGTGAACAATATCAAATACAATATATATATATATATATATATATGAATTTGAACGGATGGTGTTTTTGGCCTCTAGGGACCTCAAAACGAAAAAAAAAATCGGTCCCGCGTCCAGGTCTTACCATGAGTACTACGGTAATAGCTTATTCCCTATATGGGAAATTCGCTAAAAGGAACACTAATTTTCTAACACTACAACTAGTTTTTCAGGGTACTGTAAGACCATGTCTGTGGACAGATGTTTATTATTACCAACCTTGGGCACTTGCATGCGAAGGGGGCCAGAAGTTACTATAGCCACTAATGAGAAAAACTAAATTTTTAAAATTCACTATGCTAAAACCTCTTGGATGAATCGGATTCTGAAGACCTCCAGGATTTTTGCGTATGACACCTGCGATCTTCACCTACCTACTAAATTTGGCGAGGCCTCATATCGAAAAAGATATGTAGTTATGTGTGAAGCAGTGAGTGCGGAGGAACAATTGATTGTCACTCTTCGTATTTTGGCAAATAGCAGGACGAACAAAGACTTGAAGTAAAGTGCTAGGGATGTTAGAAATACCAATGTATGAATACCATTGATCAGTGTTTGGTGAGCTATGCAAAAATAAATAATATATAAATATTTGTTTGTTCATAGGCAGCGTTTTCCACACATGTTTTCTTTCTAGGAAATAAAATATTAAATTTAAAATACTAAATTATTAGTTTTTTTTTTTTATAAAAATTACGTTAAATTAAGTTTAAAAAGCCAAAATAAACTTTTACTGTAGTTCTTCACGGCATTTGTATGAGTGATGTAAACCTAATCTATGTCCTTCCTACCTAAATCGGCTGAAGTCTCTTCCAACCTAACCCTGCCTGGTTGACTGTTCAAAACGTAGCGCATAGAGTTTCACCATCAGATTTCAGGGCAAACGTTGAGTTGTCAACCACACTTTACTAAAGAGTTATAATATGAATTTACAATGGAACCTTGATAACAAGACCCTCGACAACAAGTCCCCCTTTATAACCAGTGTCATTTTCAAACTCCCTAGAATTTATTTTACCCTTTAATTACATGTTATTGCAAATCTCGATAAGAAGTCAACCTTGATAACCAGTCTTATTTGATAATCCCCTTGAGAGTCTTGTTATCAAGGTTCTACTGATTAATCAATAGCAGGTTGTCTCTTGTACTTACAGGCACATATTTTCCACAGGCCACCATTCTCTCAATGAAGGAGGTGTGGAGAACCCAGCGGCCTCCAGCCAGGCAACACAGCAGCTTTTCACTACGCACAGGCTTGTCTACAATCAGATGTGTGGTCTCCATGTCAAACCCTGCAACTTCACTGACTGTCTCACCCAAATCTCGCAGTCTCTCCTCACACAACTCCTTCTCCTGGATCACACATAGTCAGTGATAACAGTCATGTACAACAAGTAAAAAAAAATATGTCCTGTCTGTTGTTTTGTATTTCCAGGAATACAGGCCAAAAGGGCACCAAAACCCTCAACCAAATATTACAGAGCAGCCAAAATTCTTGGAAAATTTGTCCTCTTTTCAGGGCAGCAAAACCTAGTTTTCCCGGTCGCCAAATATACCTTTTTAGTAGGGGACTAAGGATTCCTGATATTTTCAAGTCAGGCTTGCATTGGCCCAAGGTATCAGTTCAGGCCGAAAATGATTATCTTGGGTCAAGTAGAGCCAAAGTTTATGAAGAGTTGCGATCAAAATTTTATGATTTTGCCGCGATTGCGGGTGATGTTCACGGTTTTGCCAGATCAAGGGAGACAAAGACATCACAGGGACTGTAGGAGATGTTCAGAATCAACCTACGAAGATGTTCACTATTTTTACATGACCGCAGAGGATGTACACCATTTTGCTGGATCTTCGATAGACATTCACGATTTCAAAATGACTGCGGAAGATGTACTCAATTTCACTGTGACTGGAGACATTGTTCTTGTTATCACTCAACAAAGACGGTATACATGATTTTGTCATGACAACAGACAATGCAATGTTTTAACAATAATGTTTTTATAAGCTAACAGAGTGTTTTGAACGTTATGCAGACAAATACAGTATGTCGTCCCCATTGAAATTTTGAAATTCACACACAACTGCCAGAATTCCTGGTCTATGGCCACCCTGTTACAAACCAAGGAAAACTTTCTCTTTTAAGACAACATAAACATAACAACATAAAAAAAAATAACATAACATATAAAAACATATTAACATGATATTAACAAGTAAAAAAAATTAAACCTCCAAACTAATAGTACAGATATTCGACACTATGAATGAGGTATACTAGGCAGGTTGAACAACATAAATTAAAGTTATTTGAGAAGAAATGTAGTTTCATTGGCATACAATTCTTATTTAATTTACCCAAAATTATAATAGAGGAAATAGTTATGTTTAAAAAAAGATTAAAAAATATCTCCCTTAAATTATATTTGTATTCTTTGGATGAATTTTGGAATATAAGAGATATATAATCAATTATAATTTAAAAAGATGATTTAATTTAATTTAACACATTAGTTAAATAATAGCACAGAGCTTAAACCTATTCATTTCCGCACGGCATAATGTAAGTAAATGTAAGTGGAGTGTTAAACAGTGGTGTTATTTGTTAAGATTAATTTAATTAAAGTTTGTTTAGTCTTCTTGAGCTTAACATTTTTTTGGTAAAGATTAGTGATGGGTCGGTACCACTTCTTCAATGTCGGTTCCGGTACCGGTTCCTAACCAAAATCAATTCTCGGTTCCGGTGGCATCGGTACCTCGTTTTTAATTAGGCTACTTAAGTGTTATATTTTCAAAACAAAATATCCCAATTACAATTTAAAAACTGATTATTTTTCACCAGTGTAGGTTGGTTAAATATTAAGAGATTAAGAAAATTAAACCAAGGCATATTTGTACAAACAAAACTTTGACAACCAAACACATTCAAATCAAAACAATATATACCGTACCAGAAGTCAGTGGCGGCTCTAGGACATTTTCAAGGAGGGGGATACCGGGGGGCTTGGGGGGTGTGGAGCACCCATGGGTTTTGTAGAAAGTATAATAACATTTAACACATTTCAAATTACAGTCGACATGAAAATGGTACATAAATTATGAATAAAACCAAGGTTTTTTGAAGTGTGGGATTAAGTCACTTTAGTTTGGGAACACGTTGCCGGCAACAGTCAAAATAATTCGGGATTGCAGGATTATGTTGACTACGAAGTGAAAAAACTATGGTATTGATTGTATTTGGATTGAGGTGGCTAGGTGTTTGATTGATTATTTATTTTCAGAAGTGTGTCGAAAATTATGTGTGCTTAAAAATTACACTGATCATTGAGGATTTCAGACGTGTTGATTTGGTGTTGCTATACATACAAAATTGTTTAATTATATCAAACTTGTTACTTTGTGGGCCTTTATGTACAATTTTGAGGTCTTGATATATGGTAGAATATGAATGGGTGTTGTTTATTAGGTGTTTGGCGTATTAGGCCAGTATCGATTTTCATCACCAGATACTCAATGGATGTGGAATTTTATGCTCTACAGTTCCTTTATGATGGATTTTTCTGCAGGCTGGACGGTTAATTGACGTTTTAGCAAAAACTAAAAAATAACCCTAAATTTCAAGGGTTTTGTGGTCCCAGGTCAGAAACTCACCTGGTAAAATGGGGTTATTTTTTAAACTTCAAATCCTTTTACTTCTATATAAGACAAAAGGATTATAACGGTTTCCAGCTTTCTGTGAATTATTTCTGGGCAAAAACCAATCTTTACTGGCCTATATGTGGATTGGTTTGTATTGGAGCTTTTGGGAAGGTGTTCCTTGTAATGGACTTTGAAATCGGTGATATATAAACTCAAATGTGCTACCTGCACAAAATATATCGGTCAAACGGGCCGAATTTCAAAATCACAACTTATTATACAAATTATAAATTTTAAAAATTTATTTTTCAAAAATTGGGATGCATAGCGCCTTTTACAACTTTATACTGATTACAAAACAGTTTTATTTTTTTAAATCGGATGAAAAATAAATGAGTAATTAGTAGGAGTAATTTGGCCCTGACAGTGCTGCTATCTATTGTACATACACTATTTTTTTACATCCCCAGCAACTCAAGATTGGATTCCATTTCCAGTCAATGTCTTTTTTTAACTACAATTAATTAATAAGTACTTACTTCAACATTAGAGAAGACAAACCTCCTAGGTTTACTTGTTGCTGATGAAGACATATTCATCATCTGGAAAGAAACAAACAAAATTAGTCACTTCTGCCATAGTAAAACATTATATATGAATTCGGAATTTGTTGAATTTGGTAATTTTATGATGTTTATAAAAGTGGAATAAAAACGTCAAATTGACAAATTTATTTAAGATGTGTCAATTTCCGATACCGCTGATACTTGGCATGGACACAGTGGTATGGAAGTCTATGCCAATACCAATACACGACAAGCCTGCAAAGATTGCACAGTCAAAGAATTACTGCTTTTGCCACAATTATGCATGCAAAGACGCTTAGATGATGATGTCTAAGCAGCCCCAGGAGATGATCAGAATTTAAACAATGATGTTTCCGTTACCGCGTGAAACAATGACAATATCTACATAACCTTGGGAAATCATCAGAATTTTGCCGCAATCAGGGAATACTGTGATGAGGGAGATGTTAATGATTTTGCCGTGATCACGGGAGATGATAATGTCCACATTTTTAAATAAGTTTTTTTTTTAATTTTCTCGGACACTAAACTATTGAGCGTACAACAATGCTTCAATATACTACATCAAATGTTTGTTTAAGCTCTATAGGTGGAATGTAGTCTAAACATTGAAACAGTAATATCCCTGCCGCAGCAAACCTGCAAACTAAGCGAATTCTAATCAGCCTGATTGGATTTTTACTAGAATATTTCCATAAACAAGACATAATTATTCCCTATTTAAAAAAATCATTAGATTTAATGAGTACAACAGTTTTCTGCTATGAGGAAGAAACATGTTTAAAAAAAAAAAAAAATAATAAAGGATGAAATAAACAAAATTGCCAAATTTGTTCAAAATATATCCATAAATAAAAAGTACAACGGTTTTCTTTATCTCTGTTGTGACATTTAATTTTATACACAATGCTTAAAAACAGGATGAAATATAATCTATATAAATAAAATTAGAGTTTTGTCTGTACATTGCTTAGAATCATAAATACTCGTATTTAGTTTATTTTTACGTTTTATACATTAAAGAAGCCGAAACAAGTCTCATCTAAATTTCTGTCTGTTTGTCTGTCTGTAACACTCAAGATGGCATTTTACATAATCTTCTCCAGGAAAACAAGAGTACCAATCAAGATCCAAGTCATTTTAATGTATTCACTGGATTGGCGAGAGTGTCTTTAACCATTAAAATATGGCCTCAATACTTTGTAAATAAAATTACGGACGTTCAAAAATGCAGTTTTGTGCGATTTTTGTCAAGTTTTCGTCCAATTTGTTATCACATAATCATCTATCAAATAACGAACAACTGTTCGGATCAAGATTATTTTTTCTAGCTGCCACTGATATGTTTACAAATGTTATTTACAAATACCGCAACCATTTCCGATCACGTTTTGAAGGCAAATCCCATCCAAGTGAGATTAAAAAAGTTTTTCTTACATAAAGGATTTAATTAATCGCAAGTGGAATAATATAGTGTAACCGTAAATTAAATTAAATAACTAGGCATCATCCAGGTCAGGAACCAGAGATTCTTTGTGTATAAAATTGTTCTGGAGTTTTGATAACCAGAAGGAAGACATTGAATCAGTGTTGTATACGGCTGGGAAACTTCAATTTGTTAAAGATCGTCGCCAAAAGCTTAGAAACAAGGTTCCACTCATTGACGGCGCTTCAACGGCGGTTGTGTAAAGTGTAAAGTAAAAAATCACTCAACTGCAATGGGTGATTGTTGTAACAGAGGTTTACGGATGATGCTAAACTCGATTTTCCAATGTGTCACTTTCTGTTCCTACCATTGACTATATATAGTCAATAGTTCCTACTCACCGTGTGATGCAATCGCTGGACCATACAGTCAATAGGCCCATAGCCCATCTCTTGGGTACGTACGCTTACCCAATTATTTATAACAACCTTTTCGACGACGATCCTTGATACCGGTACTTTTCCCTAGAATACACGGCCTACCTAGGTACTTGAGAAATAAAATTACAAACTTCCAAAAACCCAACGTTGTGTGATTTTTGCCACATTTCCTTCTAATGTTAATATATATAGGCCTACCAATCATTTTTTAGGGAATACGTAATCTATTAAATAACAGAAAGTTGTTGTATAAGGTTGTTTTTTTTTTTCAAACTGACACCGTTAAGTTTACATTTAGAGTCAGTTGTTTACAAATAAAGCAATTAATGGGAAATAACTTTGATTGCCGATAACTTTTTACAAGAAAATCCAAAACCAAGAGATCAATAACCTTGATTAACGCATTGGTCGGATGTACTATAGTTCTTAACTGTAAACGTTGGTTTTTGGTACTGGTTCTTTTCCTTTGAACCGTTGGTAGCAGCAACAATCACTTACGTACCAACACATCACTGTAATTTACAAATTAGTTATCGTTGGTATTGCACCTTATTTACTACAGGCGTATTCAATTTAATTGATGTCTTAACTCTAAAAGTTTTGCTTTTTCTGTCTGGATTCCAAAATGTTAGTTTATGCTAAGAAAATGACACACGCATTTTAGTAAAACTTTTATTCAGCAAACCATCATGAATTGTTCAAATGATATTAGCGTTGTTTATCTATCAATAGTTCGTGGCCTATTTTGGTAATTTTTATTATAAATTACCAATCTAAATCGTCTATAGATTTACTGTACTTCATTTCATATAGCAAACCGATTCATATAGCATTTCGACAGAATTTCGGGTCATCTTCGGTCCAAGCAAATCTAAATTGTTATGATAAAATTTTATGACATTAAAAAAGATTTCAAATACTAATTTTATATGTACTTTGTTATGCCTAAAGCGTAGCAGATTTCCTAATTAAGTTCTGTATTTTTGTGTGTATGTCTGTTGGTAACGCATTAATGTCCTTATTTCTCAGTGTTTCACGGAAAGGACAAGAGCACCTTGATAATGAAAATGTCAACCCAAATAAAGTGTTAAATTGTGAGGTTGAGGTAGTACCTTAAATACTTTCAACCATTGTGGAAAGTAACTTTCAATTATAGGCCAACCTTAGGGCTATGCCTTATAGATCTATAAAGCATTTTTTAGTTTAATCATTGGATTTAACATATGGACCAATTAGATCCGGGTGACATTTAATTGCGAAGCATTAGTTTTGGCTTGAAACTGTCAGATACTGTATTTGCGAAGGTTTATATATAGGCCTAATAGTTTTGTCAGCATATCTGAAAGTATGCAAGCAAACCAACTGCTGTTTTTAATATAAGAAGGTTTTAACTGACTATGATAAGATCCCCGTGCGTAGAACGGGCACACAGCTAGTCTATATTTATAAAAGAGGAAGTTTGTATATATATAATTGAACGTTATGGACTCCAAAACCTCTCGACAGATTGTAATGAAACTTTCAGGCATTATTAAGCATTATTCAAGGATGGTTTGTGTGAAGTTTGGTGCAGATCCGTCAAAAGGGCTCCGCCCCAGTGGCTCTGGAGTTTCCCATGTTAACCTTATGAGTATTTATATTTAAATGGAATTAAAGAATCTTAACAGCTGGTTCAACTAAACAATTTCATTCTGTGATGTTCAGTAGCATTAAAAAGTTAATAGGTTTACCAACAGGGTGCAGCAGTATTATTTTTTAAAATTTAAGACAACTGCTAATTTGCAACCAAAAGGTGAGTGAGCGTAGCGAACGAGCTCCAACCTAAGGTGAGTAAGCGTAGCAACTTCAACCAGAACATTATTGAGCGATGCAAGCGAACGAGCTCTTCTTGAAAATGAACGAGCATTTGACATAACACCACATTAGGACAGGACGACGTCTGTCGGGCCAGCTAGTATAAATATAAATGTTTTAGTGCAGCAATATAATTTGTTTTTTTAACTAACAGCTGGTTGAATATAAACATATTCTATAGAACTATCAAGTTAGTTTATTATTCTGTGATTTCGTTATTGATTATAGGATATAAGTAAGATTCTATGACCACTGATAAATACGAATTGAGGCTCTGCCCCCAAGTCTTCAAAGGAAAGGTTATGCTAATAATTTTTCTTTTTGAATTTTTTAGGAAAGAATAGTAAAATAACAATGTTTACACGTTTTAATTCATCTTAGCAGCATTTTGTTTACGATAAATGTTAACCGCTTAAACTTTGCTTGGATTAGAAATGGAAATATTGACATAACTTCAGTTTTAGTTGATTACTCAATTCCCGTACGTAGGACAGGCCAAAAGCTTGTTTATGTTATTAAAAGAAATTTTTGTATTTTTTATTCAGGAAATCGACCCCTATATGTTTATTTTTATAGGCATATTGGGTAACAGTTTAAAGCTCTAATTGTCTAGATATGCCTTTTGTGGGTTTGGATGATATCCAGTGAAAGCCTTTTATCCTATAGGCTTTTAAAATTTCACAAATTTTGCTGAATTCTGTTGTCAATAATCTGAACTTTTTTAAGTTTACATTTGTTTACATCAAAACAGATGGCCATGATACAATTTTGTTTACATTCATACAAAAATGGGGTTATTGTTACAGTTGTTGATGTTTTAGTGAATTCATCTAAATATTGTAATTTATCTAATATATAAAATTCTCGTGTCACAGTGTTTGTCTGCAAACTCCTCCGGAACGACTTCACCGATCGTTATGAAATTTGGTGTGTAAATTCTGTAGGTATGCGAATCGGACGTAAACTATTTCCCGTTTCGAAATTCTTAAAAGGGCTCCGCCCCAGTGGCTCTGGAGTTTCCCATGTTAACCTTATGAGAAATGGAATTAATGAATCTTAACAGCTGTTTCAATTAAACAAGTTGGTTCTGTTCTATGATGTTCAATAGCATTGAAGTTACAAGGATTACCAACAGGGTGCAGCACTATTATTTCTTTTACATTTATGACAACAGCTAATTTGCAACCAAAAGGTGAGTGAGCGTAGCGAACGAACTTCAACCTGGAGGCGAGTGAGCGTAGTGAACGAGCTAACCTGAAGGCAAGTGAGCGCAGCGAACGAGCTCCAACCTAAAGGTGAGTGAGC